GCAAAAGTTTAATTAGAGGTTTAGACACTCAAGTCTTTAATAAACCGTTTATAGGAGCATGCATGCCCAAGGAAACTTTGTATCCCTTTCACATCACATGGATACAACATCTCTACTCTTAAAGTAAGCGAACAATCCCTTAATACACATACGTGGGTCTGCGAGGCTATGTCGCAGTCCTTAGCCCAAGGGGACCACTCACACATCGTAAATAAATCACATGCAAAATACATTGTAGAAATCGATACTTTAAGATGAATGATTGAAAGTCTTGCAGTGCCACTGATCATGATGTACTCTTGATTACAAGTATTATGGATAATGGAGATGGAGGCTATGGAGGTGGAGCAGATGGCTGTTGTAGATGGAATGGTGATGACGGCTGCGAGGAGTTGGAGGAGGGAATGGTCATCTCTCCTGCTGAATGTTTTTTCTCTTGTATATAGTAAAGAGGGGCAAAATAGGGTGATCTTGAAAGACAAAGGTACTTAATACAAACCTCTAGGGCATGATGACGACCAGTGCTTCTTGTTGGGAAACGTTGCATGGAAAACAAAAAAATTTCTACGCACACACAATGATCTATCCATGGAGATGCATAGCAATGAGGGGGAGAGTGTGTCTATGTACCCTCGTAGACCAGAAGCGGAAGCGTTAAACAACGCGGTTGATGTAGTCAAACTTCTTCGCGCTCCAACTGATCTAGTACCGAACGTACGACACCTCCGCGTTCTGCACACGTTCAGCTCGGTGACGTCCTCCGCCTTCTTGATCCATCAAGACGGCAAGGTAGTAGATGAGTTCCGGGAGCACGATAGCGTGGTAACAGTGATGGTGAAGTGATATCCGCAGGGCTTCGCCTAAGCACTATGAAAATATGACCGTGGGTGTAAACGGTGGAGGGGGGCGCCTCACACGGCTAGGCAATTTTCTGTTTTGTGCTAGGCGTCCCCTCCCACATATATATAGGTGGGAGGGAGAGAGTAGCAGCCAAAATAGGCGCCCAAGTAGGAGGAATCCTACTTGGGGTCCCTCCCAAGCCGCGCCCCTTTCCTTATTTGGAGTGCGGGAAAGGCAGGGGAGGGTGCCCCCCTTTCCTTTCTCCCATGAGAGGGAAAGGCAGGAGGGGCTAGCCCTTCCCCTTTTCCTTCCCAAGGGCTGGCCAAACAAGGGAGGGGGTGCATCAGCCCCTTGTGGGCTGGTCTGTCCCCTCCTTTGTCCCATAAGGCCCATATCTTGCCGGGGGGTGCCCGGAACCCCTTCCGGTGACCCGATTCCTTCCCGGTACGTCCCGAAACACTTCCGTGTCCAAATACCATCGTCCTATATATCAATCTTTACCTCTTGACCATTTCGAGACTCCTCGTCATGTCCGTGATCTCATCCGGGACTCCGAATGACATTCGGTCACCAAAACATATAAGTCATATTACACTATATCGTCAACGGACGTTAAGCATGCAGACCCTATACGGGTTCGAGAACTATGTAGACATGACCGAGGCACCTCTTCGGTCAATAACCAATAGAGGAACTTGGATGACCATATTGGCTCCTACATATTCTACAAAGATCTTTATAGGTCGAACCATTATGACAACATACGTAATTCCCTTTGTCCATCGGTATGTTACTTGCCCGAGATTCGATTGTTGGTATCTTCATACCTAGTTCAATCTCGTCATCGGCAAGTCTCTTTACTCGTTCCGTAATACATCACCTTGTGACTAACTCCTTCGTCATTTTCTTGCAAGCTTATAATGTGTATTACCGAGAGGGCCCAGAGATACCTCTCCGATACTCGGAGTGACAAATCCTAATCTCGATCTATGCCAACTCAACAAACACCTTCGGAGATACATATAGAGCATCTTTATGATCACCCAGTTATGTTGTGACCTTTGATAGCACACAAGGTATTCCTCCAGTATCCGGGAGTTGTATAATCTCACAGTCGAAGGAATAAGTATTTGACATGAAGAAATCAATAGCAATAAACTGAACGATCAATATGCTAAGCTAACGGATGGGTCTTGTCCATCACATCATTCTTCTAATGATGTGATCCCGTTATCAAATGACAACACATGTCTATGGTTAGGAAACCTTATCCATCTTTGATCAACGAGCTAGTCTAGTAGAGTGTTACTAGGGACATAGTATTTGTTTATGTATCCACATATGTATTTAAGTTTCCGATCAATACAATTCTAGCATCAATAATAGACCTTTATCATGAATAAAGAAATATAAAATAACAACTTTATTATTGCCTCTAGGGCATATTTCCTTCTGTTCTCCACACCATCCTTGACCTTTCATGTCTCTCCGCCATTTCCTTGACTTGCTCTTGATGTCTTTGATATCCTTGGCGATCTTATGGCGAATCTAGATGTCTGTTATCAAATTAGTATGTCTAGTCTTGGTGTCTTCTCTTAACTTCCCCAAAAAATTACTCTTGATCTCTGCTATGTTTTTCATGCTTTTGCTAAAAAAATCCTTGAAGCTTTCTTACTCATATACCAAATTAGTATGACAACATCACACACCTCAAGCACATGGTAAAGGAAATGGCATGCATGGAAACACCATTTAAACATTCAATATGAATAAAAATGAAAAATATCATATAATTTGGAAGAAAATTTCAGATTAAGTAACAATAGTCAACAGGGATACACATGATATAATGTACAAAATCAATTTTATTAAGATATAGAGAATTAAACTTGGTGGTATTCGATAAATTGAATCAGTATTGATCATCAAATATCTTGGCAAACGACAACGGGCAAGGGATGGTTGAAGCCAGGAAAAAACATTCCCGATATATATAACTAAAATGATATGTGCCGTTTATAAATTTGAAAGATTATAAAAGTAGTAACTACATCGAGAGACTATGCCCCAACCAACAACAATCTAACCAAGAGTTGTGTAATATATTTTCTTGAAAATTTCTGCAAGCATGACCTGCAGTAATTACAATATTGCATACCTTTTTGTTTTGACAAATTTTCTAATTTGTTGAATGAGGAGTTTCGGATTCCCTGCTTGGCCACTCCAGCATGATCCTGATCTCGGTTGCACAATTTGAATAATATAGAACTCAAGATCCTTGTCATGTTAGGGCTGTGTGAGATCGACACGAAAGCTTGGTAGTCAAAGTTTGCTCCAAGCTTGTTGTATACTTGTCTAGCAAGGGTCATCTTACCTAACGCACAGTTCCAACAGTAGAGACAACTTTGACCTGATTTGTCGATTCACCTCCCTTATCAATCAACAACCTCACAAGCTCATCTCTCGGGGGATTGATTCCGACAAGATCTGATGCATCTTTATATATCGTGCAAAGTCATGTGTCAAAAGTTAAGGGAGATTTCAATGGGGCGGGGGGGCATTACCCCCAGCCTTGGACAAATCTGTGAAGAAAAAAATAGATGGAAAAGATTGATGAAAATTTAGCCTTTTGCCCTCTAGGTGTTCACATTTTATCTCCCCCACCCCACCAGAAATTATGGCATAGCTCTGCCATTGACAGTGTCGCTGGTAGTAAAACAAGATCTTCAAAGACAAAGGGCTTTGATACATAATTGTACATTGCATATCTCTTGATAACCTTCTTGAATTTGTTCTTGATGTCCTTGACATCCTTGGCGAACTTATGACAAGTCTTGATGTTCAATATATTTTTCTTAATTTTGCGAAGAATCTCCTTGAAGCTTTCCTACTTAGAGCTGGACTCATGGGATTGCCAGAAAAATCTGCCAGGATTGCCGAAGATACTAGGGCCCAGTTCTTTTGAGCAGATTACAGAGAATCTCGGTCTGAAATTTTTTGAGCCAAAAGAACTCGATTGCCTCTTCAAAATCTTAGAGGATTTTGCAGAATCCTAGTGCAATCCAAAATCATCAAAATAGTTGGATTCTCAATCTCGGGATTTTGTCTAGTCCCTCAAAAGAAAATAGTTAGAATTAAAAGAGTGCTCTATTGCAGTAGGTTATTACGGCGAGAATGCCACCGAGCCACCCATGTCATGTACAGAAGAAAATTAGCGCCTGGGCCTTGATGTGTTCCGCATCGCTCGAAATCGAGCAGGGCCAGCTAGGTTTCCAACGCAGTCGCCGGCGCCTCGCCATCCCGGACCTCAGGGCCGCCAGCAGCCCGGTCTCCGTCGCTGCCGGTCTTATCTCCTGCCGCAGCCCATCTTCCTCTGTCACCCCGGCCACCCCTCTGTCCCTCTGCCACCAGAAGCGGCCCGCGCACCCCTTTGTACCAACTGCTGACGGCGCGTCCCTTCCACCTCGAAGCTGCAGCTAGACGACGTCCCTTCTCTTGAAGAGTAGTACAGACATTTCATCACACAAGTCTTTTTAGAATCTCAAACTACAATCTCAGAAAAGAACTCGACGTCAAATTCTGAGGGAAGCATATTCTGGGAGAAGTTTCCAGAATCTTGATTCTGCAGAATCCTATGCGAAAAGAACTGGGCCTATGCCTTCTTTGGTTCATGGTTTTGGAAAATCATGGGAATAGAAAAGTCAAAGAGAATGAGATGACATGTATCTCAGTTTCTATAGAAAAGAGACGCCACTTGGTTCATAGGATAAGAACTTTTTTCATTAGGTCTAAGCTAATGTTTTTTCCATTGAAATGTGAAGGGTGGGAAGCAATCTTACATAGTAACAAAATCTATTCCTACAAACCAAATGGCTCTTTAGGAAATTTTCCTTTAGAAATCATATCAATATAGAATTACTACAAAACTCCTACAAACCAGGTGTTCGGAATAGTTATCAGAAAACAAAAGTTGGATATATATTTTTGGAAAGCCCCTTACACATATCGATTTATTACCGCTACAAATTAACACAATGACAAATACAGTAGCAAAGTAGGAGTATTAGTATATCACACACAGACAACTCAAGCGGCACATACACATTATTCACAGATCTGTACATCCCAACAACACTTGATTTACAGCTCGGAATTGTTCCTCATATCTCAACACCGTCACGGATAATCTGGAGCCAGATTCCCCTGAACGCCTCCGTGATTACTCCATGGTACTCCCTCGAGTTCAACGACAGATAGCAATCAAGGAGGTCCCTCAGAGCCTCTGCTCCGCGCATGTCGGTCCCGACGATCATCTCCACCATGCTCTCCCTGAAGTCCTTGTGCGGGTCCGTCGACGCCACCACGACGGCGATGCTCCTCCTCGCGCTTCTCCGGCGACCAGTGCACCTGGTGCTAACTCTGCAACAGCCACTGCTGGAAAGACGAAGCCTTCTGCTCCTAAGCCTCGGCGAGCTCGGGCACGTACTGCTTGCGGTCGTGCTGTGGTGCGCACTTCTCAACGCGATTGGCGCTGGCCTTGTGCGAATCGGACGTAGTTGCAAGCCTTGAAAATCGTCGACGACGACGGCGGCGGCACTTCTCGAAGATGGTGACTGATGACGATCGTTGGGGAATCGGATGTTTGTTGCCTTTGGGCTGAGGCAGAGAGGAGAGAGGCGCAGCTTCTCCGGTGGCATTTTCTTTGCTCGTAGTTGTAGGTAGGAGGAGTAGGATTGGTGTGGTGGTAATGGAAGAGGTTTTGGGGTGCTGGTTCCATGGCAGTAGTAGTGGCTTGATGATGATCTCCTTGGTGTTCTTGTAGCTGTAGAGCTTCTTGGTTGGCTTGGTGGTCTGGGTCTCTTCATGTCCCTCAGCTTGTAGAACCAAGAGTTTGGCACGAGATGGGACAGTCTGAACCTGTAATGGCTGCCCATCTCTCCTTGGTGTCTTTGAGCACTGCATGTGATCGAGCTCTATATATCTTGTAAGCAGGGCATGATAACTGGCATTGGCAAGTGGATGTGAACAGATGGTTCTGGCATTAACAAAGGATAAACCGGTGAATTAAGAAATGAGCAAAGAGGTTAACACATGCGTACCATTGTACCAAGAACTGGTCCAACAAGTTCGCTTTCATTGAAATTAATTTGAGCTGTCAACTGCTTTGCAATGGCAACTGGATGTGATCAGATGCTTCTAGTATAGAAAAAGCAAAACTGGCGAATTAAGAAATGAGCAAAGAGATTACACATGCGTACCATTATACCATGAATCAGTCCTCCAAGTTCGCTTTTCTGGAATTAATTTGAGCTGTCAGCTGCTTTGCACGCGGTTTTAGTGCTGTACCGATTCCATCATTATGTGATTGTAGTTGCAATGATGGGCAGTAATCATGAGATTGTGTACATAATATGAAGTCTACACTAAGCTCATACAAGATTGAAAGCGCTAAGAAATGGCCCCAATGATTCTGCCTGGTTTGCTAAGTAACGAACATGATATGCATGTTACCCCGCAAAAAATCATGATATGCTTGTTTACATGGGTATGTCGGTATGTTGAACGTTCTCTAACAAACTTATGGAATTACAGAATGGTATAGAATAGGGCGAAGTTTGTGAGTGAGGGGTTTTGGAGCTCGAGCTCCATGGCGCCTTTTTTAAAATTTAAAATTTGAAGCTTCAAAAAAATCTTTTAAAAGTTCACATGTACATACTATGTATGTTTGAAATTTTATTAAGATGCTTTAACAAATTAGTAACACAATTGTGGATTCAAAATAGCAAGCAGTGTGCTATTACAAATCTAGTCTGTCTTTCGCTCCTTAGTTCTCGCCAACCAGCTCCATTCATCTTCTGACATGTGGAGCAGTTGAGGCTACAAGTCAGTCTTTCTACACTATAGATACAGTGTCGCGCATGTGTTTGGCTGCTGCAATCGCTAAACCATTATCCAACGGTTATTGACTTTGCCGTGCGCACGACCAACCTGAACAACGAGGTTTGAGTTTCCGTGAGCAATCGAAGGACCGGCAAAAACTATGACAATGCAATCTGAATTGCGAATATAGATTAAGCGCGGGGTAAAGGCGGGGTTCTTGATAGAGAATCTGAATAAAGCGGTAGTCCTACACGTCTCGCAGATGTAAATTGTAGCAAAGCTAAACAATGTCTAAACAAAAATAAAGTCTAAAACTCATGAATGTGAGAATATATATGGAGGCCTAAGACAAGGGTGAATCTTATGTGACGTTTACTGTGAACGATTGTCGACCAAATGCACATGGAGCTTTTTTTTGAGAATCAAATGCACAAGGAGCTGCGCAGGGCGTTGTGAGATGGGTCGGCCCATTTTAATCTACTATATGTTTCACATATCCCGGTTTGGCAACCTTTTGGATGGTTCCAGACAGCTTTTTGCCTGTTTTTCCCTTCCCTAGTTTTACTTGTTTCTTTGTAGTTTTTTGTTTCTTTTTCATCAAATCACAATTTAAAAAAATCAAAGATTTCAAAAAAACGAAAAATTGTTGGAATTGCAGAAAAAACAAGTTTTTCAAACATTGTACACATTTTTGGATTTTTTTGGAAATTCAAAAAACATGTCACATTTTTTGAAAATGTTTGGAATTTCAAAATGTTCATGTTTTTATTAAATCGTTGTTTCTAAAAAAATTCACAATTCACAAAATTGTTTACAAGTTTCAGAAAATATTCAAAAATTTATAAAAATGTTCTCAAATTCAAATATAGTTCAGAATTTCATAATTGACTGTGTTTTTCAGAAAATGTATGGAATTTTAAATTATCAAAAAAACATGTTTCAGGAAATGTTTTTTTCTTTCAATTATACAGTTCATACAGTTAACTACGCGTGGAGATAAATTGCTATAGTAAACCAATACAGTATCGCGCGCTATAGTGTACCGCTACAGTACTGCGGGTAGGCCCAGTCGGTGTCCCATGTGGTCGTGCACCCTATTAAACGAACTGAGCAACACATAGGAGCCCTCTAATACAAGCAAATCCTTAAACAGATCCTTATTAACCTCTCAAAAAAGCAGATTATTATTATTATTATTATTATTATTATTATTATTATTATTATTAAGGTTGATCGAAAGCATGACCTCTTGAAATATGGTGTATCGAGCTAGCCAACTCACCCACCATTAGTTGTTGTCAATAGTGTCCAGATCTTTCTTGTATGATTGGTTAGGAAGTTCTTTTTTACCACATTGAATGCGATGTTGGAAAAATATTTGTATTTCTTTTCTTTGTTGTTGACCAAAATTTTCTTTCTCTTGTTTGAACATTTTCTTTCATTTTTTCTAGTTAGAAGACATGATAAGTCCAGATAACTTACGCCTAGAAACACCGTGGTAATTTTCATCCGGTGAAAAAATTGTTTAAACATATCCCAATAAATTATGTGTAAACATCATAGTAGTTTACACACATAGACCTGATAATTTACGTAGAAACGTCATGGTAACTTTTGACCCAGGGAAAAATGTTTGTTAAAATATAACCCGATAATTTCTGTGTAAGTAACATGATAATATATGCATCACAGACATGATAACTTATATACAAGCACTGTGATAACTTTGACCGGGGTAAAAAGTTATTGAAAACATACCCCTTGTGACTTCTGCATAAATAATTTGGTAATATACAAACCACAGACCTTATAACTTATGTATAAAAAGTCGTGGTAACTTTGACCCGAGGATTTTTGTTGTTGAAATATACCCCAATGACTTATATGTAAATAGCACAGTAATATACGAAATGAAGCCTGATAACTTAGATACAAACAGTATGCTAACTTTTAACCCGAAGAGAAAAAATATGGAAAACATACCCTCAACAACATATTTGTAAAATACATTGTAAATTGCGCACCATAGAGCGTGGTAACTTTTTGACAGGAAGAGAAATGTTATTGAAAACATACCTCCAATAATTTCTCTGTAAATAACATGTCAATATACGCACAACAGACTTGATAAATTACGTACAAATATGAGATCTAGTTTTAAAAATCTCGTTGTGACAGTTGGAGTAAACATTTTGTATGTCCCGGTAATTTTCTCTATAAACATCATGATAATTTATGTACCACAAACGTGATAGCTTACATAGCACAATTATGGTAACTTTTACTTTAGAAAACTCATTGAAACATATCAACATGAGCACAAGTGTGGTATGTTCTGTGTGAAGAGCATGGTAATTTGATTTTCATATTTAAATAAAAGTTGTACAGCAGCGCGATCCCAACCAAAATGACAACATAATCCAGTTTAAAAACAACAATTAAATCAATTTGAACAATACTAAATAGATGCTAATAACATCATTTAAGTTCAACAATGTACTTATTGACATAGTTCAACAAAGTATCAAAAAGAGGCAAGTAAGACATGTACAAGTTCAACTAAATAGAGGTGGTAATAACATGAGATCTGCCATGCAACCCTACTAGCTAACTAGACTTTTCTGCGGGTAGACTTAGGGTCATTGTCTAGAGTAAGTGAACCATCGCTGCCAGTGGCCTGTAGTACACAATGATCTCGTCACGATCATACTCGAGGTAGAACGTGGCTCTTTCCCCAGCTTCCATCTTGTAAGCAGTTGCAAGGGTTCTCCAACCAGGGCAACCGAAATAAGTGTGGTTTGACTCGTTAGTGACAAGATAATTGAAGTGTTGGGTCGTCATCATCTTCGTGAGGGTGCACTGGAATATAATGGTGGCATCAAGCAGAACTCGAAACCTCTCTAAGAAGTTTTTTAGAACTCCAAACCTCTCTAAGAAGTTACGCCTTGCCCCGCAAGGGATGACCCGAGCAAAATTGAAAGAAAGAACGGGTAGTTAAACAATTTTGGGCACAACTGTATACCATACGAAACTCAATCGAAACATGTTGAACTAAAACATACCGTACTAGTGAGGAAGTCATTCGAAAGATCTATGAAGAACCTCTTATCCTTTTGGCATCTCACTGAACCACATGTCTTACATGGGGCATCCATTTACTGCTTTAATCATGTTGATCAAAATAAGCATATAGAACACATGCATAGATATATAATGCAACACAAAACATATACACCTAGCTAATTAAGCAGTTACTACGAACTAGCGCTACCCAGGCGTCTAGATATTTACACATACTTGTAATTAAGCGGTTTTACAAACCATGCATAGTTCAAACATAAAACATGCATAAAGTTAAACGGTTCATACGAAATAGGAAGTGTTGCCCATCTAGCAAGCTAGTGCCCAGAGGGACCAGCCCCGTGGTCGTCCCTGGTGAACCTACAACACCCCTGATGACCCTCCTCCTCATGCTCCAAGGCATCCCAATCCTCATCTGCACTCTTCTTGGTTGCATACTGAAGTAGCATCATCTTGTTAGCCTCCACGTGTTTCTCATCTCTCGCAAGCTCCCTCACCAATGGGTCAAAGAACTGCATCTCGGCTTGGTTGTTCTCCTTCTCCTCATCCCTAGTGCATATCCTTTTGACCTCCAACGCGAGAACTTTGCGTACTCACGACGCTCAGGGAAGTTCAGAATCGCCTCTTCCTAATATAATTCAACCGCCTTGGCATCATAGGCATGTGTCGCTAACTCTGGGGTGTCCTAGTGGACGACATTGTCCTTCCTAATGATCGCATAGTACTTAGTCCCCTTCTGTCGGAGTCATGTGTGACGGTGCATATACGTTGGGGAACGTAGCATGCAATTTTAAAAAAATTCTACAATCACGCAAGATCTATCTAGGAGATGCATAGCAACGAGAGGGGAGAGTGTGTTCACGTACCCTCGTAGACCGAAAGCGGAAGCGTTAGGTTAACACGGTTGATGTAGTCGATCGTCTTCACGATCCAACCGATCTAGTACCGAACGTACGACACCTCTGAATTTAGC